AATATTGGAAAAGAGAAGGGAGTTTCTCTCTCCTGGTGTCCTGGCCCACAATCCCCCAAATAAAAAAGTTGACCACTCTCTCCATGGTTGTTTGTGGGACGTTGCTGTGTGCAATTGTGTTGCCGCGTTTGCCTATAAAATACATAGTCACCCCATTTCACAGTAAAATCCTGTGAGACATTCTTCCAATGTGATAAGGTGCTCTATCAGATGCAAGGATTATTGTTACTATTACTAGTAGTAGTATTAATATTATTATTATTATGTCAGGCGACAGACAAATCTGGTTCAAGAGGAGCTCAGGACTGAAAGGGTTAACTCCGCTCGCAACACCTCATAACTCAGCCTCTATGCCATCTGCTCTGCTGGCCCAGATCCCCCAGCGTCTTACACTGTTAAACATTTGCCGTAATACATAGTGCATTCAAAAACTAATAAAATTTCATCGCTTTTAACATCCTCTGCTTTGAATTAGCCGCGAGCAATACTTCCCTGCAAATGTTGTTACAGGAATAATAACCATTTACAGGGCTCCGTCCAGACTGCGGGCAGACTTGGCTCCCGGGGCCGCGGATCTTGCTACTTCTCTGTTTCCCTCCGTCATCCTCGGCAATTAACTCATTAGAGAGATCTGGGTTTTTCTCCCGAAGCACATCGCAATTCTGTTCCTCGCCCTGCTTAACAATGCTCCAGTGCAGTATTGGGGGAAGAAAATGGCGGGGTGGTGGGGGGTGGGCACACGCGGGGGGAAATTTTGTGGAACCCTGCATTGTCAGAGATGTTGTCCCTTGGATGAGACATTTCGCCCATAAAACACACAGTCGCCACTTAATCTGTTGATTACTGTAAAATTGTGTAAAATTCCTGCGAGGTAGTGGTGAGAGCACTCGCCTCCCTCGCAAGAGGAATTGGGTTTGATTCCCGCGCAGGGCGAAACCTTAGGCAAGTTTCCTTACTCCTCACACCTCTGTTACATAGCAGGAACCTGGTTGCTAGTTGATTAGATCGCTTTCTGGGGGGTAATAACCACTCAAAAAATATATATGTTTTGTCACTCAATCCACATCTGTTTGTGGAACACCACTATGTGCAATTGACTGCCGCATTTCGCCCACAATATATAGTCAATTCACTTGACAATATATTCTGTGAAGTGCTTTGAGGATTATTATTATTATGTACGGTTTCTGCTGGTCTGGAAAGGAGTGCATACTCTCCGGGAACCCTCCCCCCCCGGGAGAGATGCACCTTGTTCATCCAATCCTGGAGAATATTGGCGGCAGGTTGGTTTGGGGCCCCCAGAAAGTGATAGGTTAAGTGACCAGGTTCCTACTTATTGCTAGGTGAACAGGTGTGTGGAGTAAGGAAACTTGCCGAAGGTTTTCCCCTGCCCAGGAATCGAACCCGGGCCCTCTCGCTTGCGAGGTCACCTCGCTAACCAATATGATATGGGACTCCTATTGACTGGTAAGAGTGAAATGAGTTGGAGATCACTGGCTGATGCGATTTAGCGGATGGCAAGGAAATCCTGCCTAATGGGATGAAAGTGATCTCAGGAATACAAAAAATTCAATTCATTTCTTCCACAGAGTGATCTGTTCCAGCAATGCTAATGGAGTGCAGTTTCATTAGCTTCCCTGCTTAGTACTCTTTCTCTCTCTCTCTTTCTGGATTAAACAAACCTGTCACTGAGAGCAGAGAATCTTCCTACTCAGCTCCTGTTCACCCTGCAAGCCAAAGCCTATCCTAATGGATAGGGTGGTCCAAGCAGGACAAGCAGCAGGAAAGCTTACTGGACAGCAATATCAATGGCAAGCTATGCAGTTTTAGCTGGTTAGATTCCAGCAATTACCTCAAAACACACTCTGGGGTCCCCAAGTCTTGGCTCTTGCAAACCTGCACCTAATACTCTCTGGAATTCGGTAAACAGGATGTGTCCCTCCAGGGAGAGAGAGCACATTCCATTCCAACAACCTGTCTGTGGGATTTCCATGTGAAGGTGGGATACATGGAAATCTCAGTTTGGTTTGGAGACTCTTAAGCATGGGGATGGGTTCCCACATGTCAGAACACCCGCAAAAAGCAGCTGGTGCTGAGTAATCCTGATACTAACATTGAACTTGGACCTCGAGAACATGCAGGTGGCTGGCACGTCACAAGCTGTTCTGTAAAGGTCCTCCCATCACACTGAAGATGTCAGATTGCTGATGAGGAAACTCTGAGGCTTGGGCGACAGCTGCTAGAAGTTGTTACCTGGAGTCCGAGTTTGTGAACACACGTTCGTACATCCAGCGCCTGGAATCCACCTTGATTGGCCGGCAGAGAGGGAAGCAGCTGCTGCTTAAACTCCGTACCTCCAATTGGTAGAACCATCTCTCAATGTGGCTGAGCTGTGTATAGGAAGATGCTCTCTTCCTATGCAATGTGGCTGAGCTGTGTATAGGAAGATACTCTCTTCCTATGCAATGCTCTCACCCATTTCATGCTGAGTTGTGTTGCCCACCGGGAAGATTGCAGAGAGTTCCTGGTACCTGGAAGCACTCCGGGATGCTACTGCGAGTGAAGGGCGCTATATAAATGCAAGTTGTTGTTGTACCTACTGTACACCTTAGTGAGGGCTCAAACCTGCGATTGTTGGATGTGTTGAACAACCAGCTGGAGACTAACCTCCTTGGGTTGGAAGTAAGCGGGGTCTCCTTGGAGCTCAATTGGCTCCAAGTTGACATGCCTGCCAACTAACCACAACAACAAAATTACATTTGTATATCGCCTTTCACGTTGAGGACGTCCCAAGGCGCTAGACTGTCATGTGTTTGGGACCCGAGCTGATGGTCGGGGTCAGGTAGGGTGGAGGGAAGGGTGGGGGAAAGCAGAGTGATCGAAAGCACATTCGAAGAGTAGGTTTTTGAGATGGGTCTTGAAGGAGGCAAGGGAGGCGGCGAGGCAGAGGGACTGCGGGAGGGGGTGGGCAGGATGGTAGGGAGGTCTGGATGTCGCGGATGTCCAATAATAATAACCTTGGGCAAGTTTCCTTACTCCACACGCCTGATAATAATCCCTCCAAAACAAAAACAATAATAAATTGGTCATTTTCAATCCATGACTGTTTGTGGGACACTGCTGTGCACAATTGGCTGCCGTGTTTCGCCCACAAATATACAGTCAATTCACTTTACAGCATATTCTGTGAAGCGCTTTGATGTCGAGAAGACGTGAAAAATGTTATATCAAATGCAAGAATTATTATTATTATATTATAATGCTCCACAGAACTCCAAATTCTGTGAAGCACTTTGTGACGTCAGCCCAACATGAAAGACGCTATATCAAAAATGCAAGGCATTATTTATTTATCCAGCTAAAAACACATAACTTGTCATTGAGAGCAAGTTTCCCCGCTGCTTATCCAGCTTGGGTGACCCAACCTGTTAGGGCTTAAGTCAAGACAACTTGGAGAGAAATCACTTTTTGTTGAAATGGCAATGGGAATTGGGTGATCGAGAGAGAGGGAGGTGTGTGCGAGTGTGTGTGGGGGGAGAAATTGTCCTTCACGGCCACTTCAGGAGTGTTCAGAATTGGGCAGCGCTCCCAGAGAGCAGAACAAATAACGATGATCAAAAGAGACAGGACAGCAGGGCTTTTAGTTTAACTCTGATAATGTAATCGAGAGCAAGTCTAATCTCTGGTCTGGCAGCCGGGCCTTATTAAAGGCAAATAGACAGCAATTACCTCAGCAGCAGTGGGTGAAAAGCTGTTAGCTGCTCTGCCAGCCTCCGGCCTAATGTAATCACTGCTCGGGTGATGCATTAGAAGAAGCGAACAAGCTTCTGCGGGTGAAATCGACCCCCATCACTGGGATGAGCGGAGGATGAAGGACACATTTAGAAGGCATTTTTAGCACAGGTCCGGGGGAGGGGGACAGACAGGGATGGAACAGACCTTTGGAGACTGTGACTGCTAACATCCCACTCCACCATCATTATCACAGGCCCCCATCACCCAAGTCCTCGCCAGGCTCTACTGACTCCCCATCGCCAACAAGTCATGACTTCAAGGCCCACTTGCACTCATTTCGCAAAATCACAACACAGAGGACCCGGGTTCAATTCCCGGCAGGGCAAAACCTTAGGCAAGTTTCCTTGCCCACATGCCTCTGTTTACCGAGCAGTAAGCAAGAACCCAGTTGTTAGTCGATTGGCGGATCACTTTTGGCGTTAATAACCCTCCAAAAAAAGTGGTCTCTCAATCCACGACTGTTTGTGGGACACTGCTGTACACATTTGGATGCCGCATTTCACCAACAAAATGCAGTCAATTTTACTTTACAGTATATTCTATGAAGCACTTTTAAGATACCTCAACAACATAAGGCAAGATATCAAATGAAAGTATTATTATATTATCTCTTCCTCATCCACTCAGCTAACTCAGGCTTGCTATGAGACCCTCGCTCCATCCACACCACAAGCCTTTATATTCCACAACTCTAACCTCTTGGACTCTGGGGAGGGTGGGGGGTGGGGGGGCGTACTGTTGGTCATGACATTGGGGGCGTACTGTTGGTCATGACATTGGGAGAAACTCATTTTTTTTTAGCTCCATGCAACCGTTAACATCCATTTGAACAGGCAGATGGGGCTCATCTGAGTACAGTACAGTGGCCATCAGACGGGACCTCAATTCAACGTCTCACCTGAAGGATGGCACCTCCTGACAGTGCAGTGTGGCCCAGTACTGCAGTTGAGTATCAACGCATTCAAGAGAAAATGTGAGCATACAGGAGGGAGAAGGGAAGGGTACAGGAAGGATGGAAGCTGGTACGAAGTATAAACACCAACACAGACTGGTTGGGCCAAACAGTCTTGTGTTCGTACGGTAACACTACTCAACACCAGCCTGGATTATGAGCTCGAAGTCTGTTTGCTTCCCCCACACTCACCACACATGGAAAACACACACTACACAAAGCTCATTAAACAGGAGACAACAGAGGAGGGCAGTGAATTCTAAGCAATTTTATAAAGACAAAAAAAAGACCGTCTTTTATTACAGAAGTCAATACCGTGACGGAACCAACCAAACCCAATATAGGAACATGCATGATTGCTGGGCAGACTGATCTCTGCACTTCTTCCCTACAACACCCGCACCCCCCTCCCCCTCCCTAAACCTCCACCTCCCTTTGCCCCCTTGTTAAACCCTCCCCTCCCACCCCACCTTCTCTTTCGTGGTCAAGCTTGCCGTAAGTGCGATATCTTTTTTTATATAAAATAAAAATCATCAGACACATATCGTCAGTTGATCGAAAGGAAAAAAAATACAATAAGACCCGGGACCACAGAAGGTTCTGGGCGATGTGAGGGGTTGGAGCTGGAAAGCAAAAGGGGAAAGAGGAAAGGGGGTCCCGGGGGAGGTTGGCTGGCGTTCCGCCGGCTCACAGCTCGATGTTCCCACACCGCTCTCTGCTCGCTCAGGGTTGCTCTCCACACGTTGGCTGTGATCTGTTCTTGGCGAGGTATTGCCTAGCGGCCAGAGGAGAAAGGAGAGGTCACTACGAGCTCCTCCATTGTCACGTCTGTGTCGCAAACCCAAACATATGTAGTAAACAACAACAAAAATTACATTTGTATAGCGCCTTTTACGTCAAAGGACACCCCACTCCTGATAATGTGATCCTGGCTTGACTTGTCACTACCACAGGTCATCATGTTGTCAATAGAGTCCCAACATTAATGTCGCTGCTATTCTGATACCCAACTCTGAAAACTGACATTATACAGCAGTAAGCAGGAACAGAGGTAAGCTACTCAGCCCATGCAGCCTGTTCCCAATAAATAATGTTTTTACAGCTAATTCAAATGTACACTCTATACATTGCAAGACATTGATCACATCCATGCCGTGTAGATTGCAGAATTAAGAGCTTAGTTACAATTTTTTATAAAATAAAATATGGAAATTAAATAGGGGTTTCAGTCATGCTACTAATTTAGTTGAATTGAAATGTATTCAAAATTGATTTAATCTGCTCTAAAACACAATCCTTGATAGTATCATGAGGCTATTTAAAGCTCGCTTTCTAATCTACTTTGTCCCTGACCTGGGAATGTGGACGGATAGTGTAGAAGCAGCTTTAGTGTGTCTCTAACTCATGCTGTGGCTGACCTGGGAGTGTGGATTCTGACGAGTGCCTGTGTTGATGGAAAAGCTGTATTTCATGGTGCAGACAGCCCTTATCTCGGGGAGAAAGATTAGACTGGACTGGAACTCACCTCCTTGCGTATGCATACAGTGCTTCCTTCCTCTCCTGTAGGGACAGGTGCCGATCAGTCGGGGATTTCTCAAAGGTTGGATTTGCATCAGGCTGCAATTGAGTGAGAAAAATAAAAACTAGAAGACCGCTCTCTGTGCCTTTCATGCCAACACAACTCTTCAGGAGTCACCTTACTATTGTCATTTTTATAATAATCCGTGCATACAAAACAGCACCTTACCATGTCGTTCAGAAGTGACAAGGCACTTTTACTTTGAGATTTTACTGTTGAATGTAGTGACTGTGTTTTATAGACGAACGGGGCAGATGATTTGTACATAGTAATATTCTACAGATAGTAACAAAGTAAAAGACTGATTGTATTTGGGGGATTGATTGTTGTCCAGGACACCGGGAGAGAGAAACTCCCTTCTCTTTTTAATGACACAAGATCTTTCAGTGTCTACCCGAACATGCACAGACGGAACCTCGGTTTAACGTCTCATCCAAAGGATGGCACCTCTGACATGGCGGCACTCACTCAGAACTGTGCTGAGCTCAATCTCAAAGTGAGATTTGAACCCACAACCTTCTGCTTCAGAGGCTACCAACTGAGCCAAGCTGACATCTATTCCCTTCAAGCTCACAGTCCAGGCTGACATAGCAGCTCAACACTGCATTGCCACTGGTCCATCTTTTGGATCAGATGTTAACAAGGACTTGTTCGCCTTCAGGTGGACATTAAGGATTCCACAACACTATTGGTGTCAGGGCAGCAATCCTCCAGCTAAAGAAAGGCATTCTGCCCATAATTATCTGTGCACAAAACAGCTGCAGTGTTTTGCCTACAAAAAACTCTCTACACTGGCCGGCAGTTATGCATGAGGGGCTTTGTGATGTGGTTATGGCTCTAATAAAAACGCAAGTTATTCGCTAAGAGATTTTTCTCTCCCAATGCGTCGGGCTCCAGGTCAAAAACACGACAATGGCAACAGAAGCCTCTTCCCCCAGCTTGGCGACACTGTTAAACACTCCGAGAATCTACTCTCCGTGAAGAGAGCTATATAACAACTTGCATTTACACAGCACCCTTCACATGGCGCAGAGTCTCGGAGCACTTAACAGTGGCAGAGCCTGAAGCTGAGCCGGGGGGGGGAGGTGACCATATATAAATGCAAGTTTATAGTTGTACTTTTACACTGAGGAGGAGAACATGGGGAAGTGTCAGACAGTGGGGAAGAGCACAAGATCATTGAATAGCTGCCAGGCTATACCTTGTTAGAAAGAGTAATCTTTGAGGTCCTGACGGCACAGGAGGAGCTGCTGGGTGCTAGAGTTGATTGGCTGGAGGAGGCCTCGGAGGAGGAGCCGGCCACCGGGTCCTCGGGCGTGAACGGGATCCGGCCCTCCAGCAAGTTTGTGATGGTAGTGTCCACGCAGTTCGTCTTCACTGAGAGAATTAAATGGGAGGGAGGTTCAGTGGAAACACAATCATCAAAACAACAAAAATCAAATAATAGTCATCCTTATATTTGGTTCATAGCCTTTCACCCCACAGGGTCTCAGAGCGCTTGACAAGAATTTATTGTAAAGTGTCATGATTGTATTTTGTAGTCGAATGCAGCAGCCAATTTACACATAGTAATGTCCCACAAACAGCCAGATTCAACAACCAATTTTATCTGTTGTCCAGGTCACTGGGAGAGAGAATCTCCCTTCTCTTTTTGAATAGTATCACTGGATCTTTAACACCTACCTGAACAGGCAGACAGGACTTTGGTTTAAACATCTCATTCTAAGGACTGCACCTCAGACAATATAGCGCTCCCCCCACTCAACAGCCTAGACGGTGAGCTCAAAGTCCCGATATGGGGTTTGAACCCACACCCTTCTAACTCTGAGATAAGAGTGCTACCAACTGAGCTACGCTGACACCCATTCACCCATTGCTGCATGAGAGAACTTGATAGATGAATACCATTAGATAACTTGATAGACTAGTGATATTTACATTTATATAGTGCATTTTATGTCGGGAGGACATCTCAACTGGTTGGCACAGTTTCCTCAGGCATCCACTTATCAAAAAGTTACAACGTTGAACTGTAACTGGTTATTCCCACTTGTGGGCCAGTTCAGTCACGAGAGGGCGCAAATTTAAGGTAAAGCCAAAAATGAATTAATTAATTAATAAGAGGAGGTTAGAAACACTATCTTCACACAAACGGTGGAAATGTGATTGTGGTGGTGTCTGAGTATGTGAAACAGCCACTATTTCAAAATCATAGTATATTGTTCTATTTAGGTCAACTTATTTCTTTTAAAAGGGACCTTAAAAAAAAATCTGGCCACGTTTGACATGCATGGATTGTACTGTGCAACAAAGCTCTGTAAAGCTTATGGCACCGCCTTGTGGATGAAATCAGCTACTAAAATAATACCAATAACTTGCATTTGGTAGAGCGGTTTATCATTTCGGAAGGACATAAAAGTGCTTCACAGGATTTACTGTGAATTAGAGTAACTGTGTATTTGTAGGTAAACACAGCAGCACAGTAGCACGCAGCAATGTCCCACAAACAACCATGAAACGAATGAACAAATTTTATTTTGGGGGTTTCTGGCCTGGACACCGAGAGAAATTGCTTCTCTTTTTTGAATAGTAATAATAAACCTTGCAGTGCCTCATCACGTCTTCGAGACATCTCAAAGCGCTTCACAGAATACACTAAAGTTAATTAACTGTATTTTGTGGGTCAAATGCAGCAGCCAATTGCGCTCAGCAACGTCCCACAAACAGTCGTGGATTGAGTGACCAAATTATTAGTTTTTTTTTGGAGGGATTATTACCCGCGGAAAAGTGATTCACCAATCGATTAACAACTGGGTTCCTACTTACTGTTAGGTAAACAGAGGTGTGTGAGTAAGGAAACAATATAGGCCAAGGATCTTGGTTTAACATCTTATCAAAAGGACAGCACCTCCAACAATGCAACCCCCCCACTCCCCCCCACTGGGGTATCAGTTTAGAGTGCGTCCAACCTTGTCTCTGTAATGCACTCAAGAGAATACTTGTGAATGGAGATATGTTTGCACATAGTGCTATATAATGCAACTTGTTGTATAAGTGTGACTGTGCATTGTGCAAGTGTGTGCAAACATGTATGTGTGTGTGTATGTATGTAGTGCAAGTATGTGCACATGGTGGGGAGGAGGAGAAAGCACAGGTATGCAACAAGCCATGGTGAACATCAGCAGAAATGGAACAAGGACAACTGTAAGGTGTTTCCTACCCAGGTCCTGGTTGATGACACTGAGGGGGATGTGAGGCAGCACCTCTTTAACCTGCCTGGCCATTCCGGTCATCTGCATGTCCTCACTGTTCAGGTTGTTCATACTCAGGCCCGGGATGTGGCTGGCTGTACAGACAATAAAAAAAAATCTGTCAGACTTGCCATTCAATTGCTCTCAATCTCCATATCCCCAGCACAGGCCAACCCAGCTGCAACCTGGTTCAGTAGGTAGCACTCTCATCTCTGGGTCAAAAGGTTGCAGATACGATCCCCAACTGCTACAATAAGAACTTAAGATATTTATTTCGCGCCCCTCATGTAGGATAGTGTTTCAGAGCACTTGACAAGGGCGGAACATGATGCCGAGCGAGGGGAGGGGTGACCTTAAGCATGGTCAAAGAGGAAGGACTTCAATCACAACCTGAAGATGGGGAAAGAGGGGGCAAGGCGGAGGGATAGAGGAAGAGTGTTCCAGCGTTTTGGGAAGTAGTGGCTGAAAGCGCAGCTGCTGATGGTGGAAAGGAGGGCACGAGGGACATGCAGGAGGCCGGAGCTAGTCAAGATGAAGTGATCGGTAGTGGATTAGGGACTAAGCAAGTCAAACTGCTGTTGCGCTTGCCTGCAATATTTACTCACAAACACTACACATTGTTTTTATCCCCTCTGGAAGGCCTGACTCCTCATGCCAACAGGTGGTATATACCCTGGTCCTTCCTTGTGTGCCAGTTTAAACAGCAAGTGCAGCAGAACCAGGGGAAGTGAACCCACTTAATAACATAATAATCCTTCCATTTCATACAGCAAATTTTCACTTCCACAAAACATCTCAAAAAGCTTCGCAGGATTCACTGTAAAGTGCAGATTACAGCTTGCCTGATATTTATTTATCCCAACTTGATAAAAACACCTAGTCAATAATCCTCCCTAGTCAAAAAAATGTGGTTCCAAGACTGTTTGTGGGACACTGCTGTGGTGCAATCGGCTGCCACGTTTCGCCCACAAAATACAGTCAATCTACTTTTATATATTTTGTGAAGCACTCTGAGACATCTGAATGACGTGATAAGGCACCATAATCAAATGTAAGGATTATTATAGAGGCTAGCTATAATGTCAAATGTCTCCAATTGCTTTACAGGGAATTGTGTCAAGTGCACGGAATTGATTTGTAGGCAAACACGGCAAGTCTTGTTACACACAGCAGGTGAATCTGAAGTGAATGACCAAGTTCGCAGGATTGTTGACTGGGATTCTCTCTTCCAACTGTTACACGATCTTTAACATTCACTTGAAGAATGAGCAGAAGGGAACTGCAGGGATGAGAGTGTTACCAACTGAACAAGGCTGATACAATAAGACCAACTCCAGATCCGCAGAGCTCCTGTTCTACATACACGTGTCAATATAAAGCCAACCTGCAGTAGCTACTGGAGACACCACATGCTTCATTCTTTTGACGTACTCCGCTTTGTCGGACTTGGTGTGTGGCGTAGATACAATACCCAGTTCCACCGCTAAGTGCTATTGAGAGAAGAGGAAACAATTAGAACTGTCTCGACACATGTAAAAAAAAATTTGGTTACACAATCCACGACTTGCGCAATTGTTTGCTGAGTGTCGCCCAAAAGATGTAGTCAATTCACTTTACAGTATTTTAATGAAGCGTTTTGAGATGGCTCAACAACATCAATGATTAGTACTATATTGTAGCACTTGAGAAAAAAAAGTATGTTTTAAAAAAATTTCAGTGTAAACTCATCTGTACTGCTCTCGGAGTTTTTATTGTTAAAAAAAATTAGAATTAATTTGTGATGACGATTGACCTGAGATCGTGGAGATCAACGCGAGATTGCAAACGATAAACATGAGATTGGTGGCAATGAGGAACCAGCTGCAGACTTGTATCGGAAGAGTGAGGGCACGCAGTGAATAGAACGGAAGGAGATGGCACAAGTTCTGAGACCATGAAGAGATTTGGTTAGGACACAAAGATGTAATAATGAATAATAATCCTTGCATTTGATATATCGCTTTATCACATCATTGAAACCTCTCAACTACTTCACAGAATATACTGTAAAGTGGATTGACGGTATATTTTTTGTGAGTGAAACAAAACAGCCAATTGTGCACAGCAGTCATGGATTGAGTGACCAAATTATTGTAATTATTTTTTTGAAGGGATTACCCCTGGAAAAGCGATCCACCAATTGACTAACAACCGGGTTCCTACTTACTGCCAGGTAAATAGAGGTTTGTGGAGTAAGGAAACTTGCCAAGATTTCACCCTGCACAGGAATCCATCCCAGGTCATTTCGCTTGCGAGGCGAGTGCTCTCACCAATACGCTACAGAACTACATTTGATCCGCACTCTCCCAGGAGTTCACTTACCTCCTGGACTCTGATGGCAAACTCCTCTTCACTCTCCTCTTCCTGTTGGGACATGGTTGGCAGCCACCTGGACAGAAACCAGCACCACACAGCAATAAGCACACAGGCTGGGGCCCGTCAGAACATATAGCGACTCTCTTCAAACAGAGCTGACATTGTAAGCCAGGGATAGCCTGACCCCTCGGTTTTTAGACTCATTTCCAAGGTGTAAATGCACGAGTCATCACATAGGAACAGGAGGAGGTCACTCAGCCCCTCAAGCCTGTTTTGCCATTCTATCATGGCTGATCATCAGGTGACTTACTCTTCTGCAGTGACCTGTGGTAACCACACTGTTGTTGTTCTGGGCCTTACATTAACAATGTAGTAAGTAAATGCAACACCTGATCAATCACTGTATCAGAGAGTAGAAGGTTGTAGGCTCCAATCCCGGCCTGCGCTGAGTTAGCTAATCTCAGATGGGGCAGCAACTGAGGTTTCAATTGGCCTCAGCACCCATTGGCTAAGGCACCCGTAGACTAAGGAACGGGGGGTGGGGTGAATCAGGCATTCCTGTTTGCTATCTAGAGACCCCTCCTCCTGTCCCCAATCCCCCCCTACCTCCCAAAGGTGCAGATCAATGTGAGGAAATGGCAGGTTCAGGCTTACTATGTTGGGTTAAAAAGACTGCTGACGCTCACATGTTTATAATGGCAACTTATTCAGGGGTACTTTGTGAAACTGTGGCCCAGGGGAAAGAACAAGGCAGTCATGAAGGCTTGGGTTCGCACCAGTGATCAACCCTGCAGTAGGTGCCAGAGGACTGAAACCAAGCTCACAGCAATAACTCTGGGAAGGGACGTGCATCTGTGTCGTAGGAGGGAAGGAAAGAACATACACGTTAGCACACTCTAGCCCAGTTACAGAGCACCTTAAAATACCATAACACCTGCAGTATAGTGACTTTCTGTGTCCGGTGACCCTGGAAGCATTAGCAAAAGGAGGCGTCTCAGATGACTGGTCAACTTCCTGCGCACGGTAGGGTTCGTTCATGTCGGCGGTGACCTTGGTGAACGTTATTTTTCTGTATACGTTTTCACTAAGCACCCACCACAAACAAACCTCACAATCACAGGACCCTGACCTCGGGTTACTGGACAGAATTTTAATAATAATCCTTGTATTTGATATAGCGCTTTTCACATCTTCTAGATGTATCAAAGTGCTTCACTGAATAGACTGTAAAGTGAATTGACCGTATATGTGTGGGCGAAACGAGAAGGTAGATGTTTGGGAGCAATCGACTCCGAAGGCACTCACTCTGGGGGCAGGAAGACTATTACAGAGCAGCATGGTACCTAGGACCTTAAACCAAGCTCAGGACCATGACTGGAAGGGTGGATGGGGTGAAGTTCGACTATTTGGCTTCACATAGAGGGATATTAAGAGATGGATTGTTTTGTCCCCGGTGGCCAATGACGTAGCCACGACTAACAGTACCAAAGAGTATTGGACGGGTATTTGTAGAGAAACAAACTTTATAGGAAAAAAACAGGCAAATGAGATTAGAGAAGGAATAGTCAGGAATGGGATTAGGAGGTTCTTGTGAAGTATAAACACCAGCACGGAATAGTTGGGCCGAATGATCCGTTTCTGTGAACGATATAATGGTATGCAGTTAGTTAGCACTGGCAAAGGCTCAGTTTCCTGAAGCTTCCTTTATTGAATAGGAACATAGGAACAGAAGTCGGACATTCAGCCCTCGATCCTGTCCCGCCATTCTATTAGATCATGGCTGATCTGTGCCTAAATTCCATTTACCCACCTTCGCTCCTTATCCCTTGATAGCCTTATCTTAACAAAAACCTATCTACCTCAGTCTTGAAAATTTGAATATTGCAGGGTAGAAACAGACCTTTTGGTAATTGTGAGTTTACGCCGCTCTGCGCATGAACCACCCAATCCTAATCCCACTCTTATCACCCCGTCCCCACCATTAACATTCTCCTCCGTGAGCACCCATCTAATTCCCTTCTAAAAAGGTACTCTGGGGTCCCCAAGCCTTGGCTCTTGCCAACCCAATACTCTCCAGAATTAGGTAAGCAGGATACACAAATCCTCCAGACTGGAGTTGGCCTGTCGTGAATTTGGTAACAAGACATAGATATGCCAAGCCAACCATAGGCCAAGGTACATTCCAGAGAAATGCCTTTGCACACAGAAGGTAGAAGGGCTTGACTCTGAAAAGCAGCAAGGTCAAAACGCAGACAGTCCCACCCCTTTCCAGTGATAGTTAGCGACAGTTAGTACCTTACTTGGTATACTGTGAAGGGGGTGAAAAACATCCACAGCAGCTCTGACACCCAGGAGGACTCAACGACACTCTATGGGAAGAGAGTGAAAGGGAGAAAGAAAAATAAGTAAACCAACAAGATGAAATACTATTTTGTTACCTTATCCAGCCCTGAGACAGAACAAAAGCCTAGAGCAAGTGGTGTTGGGGTGGGGGGGGGAGAGGGTGAAACACCTGCTCTCCCGAATGGTCATACTTGTGAAATATGATGAATGAGTGCAGCTGTGGGACTGTCCCCCCCACCGCCATGAGCTCTGGGTATTTCAGTGTGGCGAGATCATGAATGGGAACAGCGGAGGCTGCAATTCATTCCTTCGGCTCATCTAATGGCATCCTCCCAGAACTCCCACCACCCACCCACCCTGACATATTCCGGTTATACCATCGCCCAGTTTCTTAAAACGAGTCCCTGGCTTCGACCACCCAACCTCCAGCCCATCACAGCATCAGTCTGAATAAGTCTAGTGTTCTGGTCTCAAACACCACTCCTAGTAACCCATTCCAGCTGTCGATTAGCCCCTCTGTATGAAGAAATACTTTCTGGCATCTGTCCTAAAGCTGCCAACCATTGTCTTAATTTCTGAGGTAATTTCTTTCTTCTGTAATTAAACATCCTCATCTTCACTTTTAAATCCCTCCATGGTCATGCTCCTCCCTACCTCTGCGCCCTCTTAACACCATACTAATCTGCCTTGACCCCAGCCCCTCCCTCGCTTCCTTCAAAGCCCATATCAAAACCTTCCTCATTGACGTGCCTTCATCCACACTCCCACCCCATCCTACCTTCTTGATCCAACCCTCAGCTCTGGTGCAAATCTTTAACCGCTTTGGAATGTCCTCCCAATGCGAAAGATGCTGTATAAATATAATTTGTTGTTGTCTCATTCTGCTACCTGATTTTTATTTTTATTAAAATATTTGCCTGTGCTTACTTTCTCAACAATTTAGCACCTTTCACGCAGGATAGTGGCTCGATTTAGCGTTTAGTATCTTGTGTTACTATTCAGAACAGGGTACTTGCTGTGGACAGGAGTCCGATCTGCACATGAACTTACCGCAGATATGAAGGGTCTTTTTACTGTCAAACCCACAGGCTGGAGAGTGCTATTTACAGAGAAAGGCCAGGAGCTGGAAAGGAGAATTTTAAATTATTCATAAGTCACTGACTTCAAGGACAGCACAACAATATTCATTGCATGAAATTCAAAGGACACCTTAAACCTTGACAAATGCGCATCAAAAGACACAAGAGGGTCACTGTAACACTACCTCCCACCTGCACACACATAAACATGAATGGTTCCATCTAGGCGATGGTCAAGTGGGTAAACGGAGAGTGATGCTTGGCTCAATTTAGGGGAGGGGCCATAGAGGAGTTCTAAACCTGTTAAAAAAAGTTGACTCAAAAGCTTGAAAGATGCAATAGAAATGAAGTGGTCCTGTAGCGTAGTGGTTAATGCGCTCGCCTCGCAAGCGAGGACCCGGGTTCGAATCCTGGGCGCAGCAAAATCTTAGGCAAGTGTCTTTACTTCACATACTGTTTACCTAGCAGTAAGTAGGAACCCGTTTTTTAGTCGATTGGCAGATCGCTCCAAAAATAATATGGTCACTCAATCCATGACTGTTTTTGGGATACTGCTGCCGCGTTTCATCCACAAAATACACAGTCAATCCACTTTACAATACATTCTGTGAAGCGCTTTGAGATTTCTCAATAATGTGATAAAGCGCTATATCAAATGCGAGGTTTGTTATTATCTTTCATATAAATTGGATTATTCACCTTTTGACTGTTGGTGGACCTTACTGCTGAATTTACCTACAAATACAATTACCACACTTGACAGCAATTACCTCCATAAACCCTTTGAAATGTGTTGATATAAGGCAGATATAAAATACCAGCTCCTTTGTCTTGTCGCAGAGGAATTTATACCTGAATTTGAGGAGCCCGACTTTTCCATTTGTCATCTCCTCCTCCGGGAAGAGCAGTAATGGCGACGCTCCTTCCAAGGAGCTGTATTGTCGGAGCGTCTCAGCCATGCGCGTCCGGCTGTCCCGCCAGCCCAGCTCCACATAGCCACGTGCCCAGCTTACAAACCCAGAGTGTCCTTCCAACAAGGGCTAAACGTGGAGAAGAGGTTGATTAATAACGCACACTCTGGTCCCCAATCCATGGTTCTGAGTTTAATACTTTCCAGAATTAGTAAACAGGATGTGCCCCTCCAGGGAAAGAGAGCACATTCCATTCCAACAATATATCAATGGAATTTCCATGTGTAAATGGGATGCATGGAATTCTCATCTTAGTAATCATGGTGATGGGTTTCCACATGTGCAAAAAATTGAAAGATCAAATGAAATCTAATGACTACCAGCAGCATCGTGTATTTGCGCTCTTACAGTGGGGCAAGGATAGACTGTGTGTTTATCCACATTATTGGGGGGTGGGGGGGAAAGAGGAGGGAAAGAAATGTGATGGTTGCAGGAGGTAGCAGCTTATGGGAAGCAGGAAAGGCACTGGGCTTTTGGATGATGGATTGTGGCTGCCGATTGTTGCCTGGCAGGTGTTGCCTTTCTTCAAGAATCAAAAAAGCAGCTGGTAGCCGTCTACTACCCAGCAGTTAAAATTGAACCTGAAGTCCGATGCCTAGCTTTGTGCGTGTTGAGAATGCTGGAACACACAGGCCTGCTTCTGGTACAATTATTGAACACATTGCTATATTGACCTCAAGATGTCTCAAACAAAACAATAGTTAGGGATTATAATACAAGGTTCATGGATCAATAGTTATCGAGTGAAGCCTGAGAGCAGCAGGTGAGAAGGAGGATGGAGACTCTGAAGAAAAGATGGTAGGTTTTACATTTATGCTTTTTGGGAAACAAGTAGAAAGGGAGACAAGACAGTAACAGTCTTTTCATTCTGTCCTTCAAACACTGGGTCAGACATGTGAGTACACACGTATTTCAGCTCACCGTGTTACAGGGCGTGAGGAGATTGATCATGTTGTGGTCAAATGCGCTGACATGGTTGCACACATATGCTTTGACATTTTTGTCTCTCTGCCTGGGGTCGTTCTGGGACACAAACATGCCCAACACCGAGCACATGACCCGCACGATAAACCTGCAGCACATCACAAGGCAATAATAATTAATAATTTAATAATAAAATTATTTAATAATAATCATCTGAATTTTATAATAATCACTTGTTAAGGTGTCTAATATGGAGAACATCTCAAACCACTCCAATATTCTATAAGGTGTAACCACTGTGTATGTGAACATGCCTGGGAATCTGAATATAGGACCATCCCACAAACAGTCATGAAGTGGAACAAATAATTTTAGCTGGAGGATTGTTGGCCAGTGCACTGGGAGAGAAACTTTTCAAACTTTGTCACCTGACCTTTGAGAACAAAATTACGGAAGTTACATTTATGTAAAACCTTGGATAATACCATATTTGGAGTACTGTGTCACCAATGAATTTAACGTCCACCTGAACAGGCAGGTGGAACCTCAGTGTAACACACTATCCAAAGGACAGCACCTCTGCCAATGCAGTACTTCCCCAGAGCTGAACTAGAGGGTCAACCTAGAAAAGTTCTGATGTGGGACTTGAATTCCCAAAGGTTTGCTCCAGGGATGAAAGTGCTACCAACTGAGCCAGGCTGATGCCTTTCTCTAGTTATGCATCCTGCCTTCTCCTGGAAGAGAACATGTGGAGTTTGCCAAAACTTCTGCAGAAGTCAACTCAACAAATCACGATAATAATCCTCGCATTTGATATAACACCTATTACTTTGAACGTCTCAAATTCTATTTGTAGGCAAATACAGCAGTGTTTTCCTCACATCAGTGTCCCCCAGCACTGAAGTGAATAACCTTATTTTATTTTGGTTTGCTTACCCCCCACTCCAGCACCCGCTGCCTTCGCTCAGCCAGCTCTGGCCTCCTGTTCGTCCCTCGCCCCCTCCGCTTCACCATCGGCAGCTGTGCTTTCAGCCTCTATGCCCCGAAGCTCTGGAACTCCATCCCTCAATTTCCTCACCTTGCCCCCTCCCTCTCCACTTTCAAATCCTGCCAAAAGATCTTCCTTTTTTGATTGCGCTTATGGTCACCTACCCACTCCCTCTCCCCCTGGCTCAGGGTCAGACCCCGCACTGTCAAGCGCTCTGGGACGCTACCCCACATGAAGGGTACTATATAAATGCAAGTTGTTGTTGGTTGAACAAGGTACGCCAGGTTCACTGCATTAGACACATTTTATACTTGTACTCAATTTACGCTGTCATTTTCCCAAACCAGTAAATGCAAATTCAACTACATCTATGCATATTTAAAACTTACCTTCGTATTAGGCTATCTGGGATAGCACTACTCACTAAAAATACATGCAACCCAATAAATATCCTGAGAAGCATTAAACAAAGGCCAAATGGAGTATACAGCAGGAGAAGGGCCAGGAGAAAACTATCTGAAGGTAACCTGTAAGATAAGAAGAAACAGGTGGGTAAATAACGGGGAGGATAGAAAAAAAAGCTGTCAACATGATGGCAGAATGACCTTCATCCGTGCCATATATTTCTATCACAGATTCAGAATAATCTAACCATGATCTGCTTGCCAGGATTATTCCTCAGAGCACTCTCACAGCATACAGTGAAACTAACCTATAAGAGGACTACACCATCACAGACAAATGGGGAAAGAGATTCTCTCCACTCAGCTCCTGTTAACTCTGTAAGCCAAATCCCTAACAGTTCGGGTGGTTCTAGCTGGAGAAGCAGTGGGAAAGCTTGCCGTACGTACTGTGATATCAATGGCAAGCTATGATAATAATACTCCTTGCATTTCGTATATCACCTAATCACGTCATTGAGACGTCTCAAAGCGCTCCACAGAATATACGATAAAGTGAATTGACTGCATTTTGTGAGCGAAACGCGAGAACCAACTGCGCACAGCAGCGTCCCACAAACAGCCGTGGACTGAATGACTATGATGTGGTCTTAGCTGGTTAAACTTCAGCAGTTATCCCAACGCACACAAGCCTTGGCTCTTGCCAACCTGTGCCTAATACTCTCTGACATGAGGTAAGCGGGGTGCCTCGCTCCAGCAGGAGAGAATGCACATTTCCATTCCAGACACAGGGAAATCTCCACACGTAGGTGGGATACATAATGTGGAATTCTCAGCTTAATTTGGATACTCTTGAGGGTGGTGATGGTTTTCCCCGTGTGTCAAGACACTCGGCTGCCCCCCAAAACATGGCATTGGCATAAGCCAGAGAGCGAGAGGGCACAGGGCATGGAGGGCGTCTCGGTGCACAGGGCCGAGGCAACACAGTATCAGTCGATCGCGGGGTGAGGGTATTTGGGTAACAGCGTGGAAGGCCTGAGGGTGAGGGGAGGAGGGCCGAGGCCTGAGGGTGAGGGGAGGAGGGCCGAGGCCTGAGGGTGAGGGGAGGAGGGCCGAGGCCTGAGGGTGAGGGGGGAGGAGGGCCGAGGCCTGAGGGTGAGGGGAGGAGGGCCGAGGCCTGAGGGTGAGGGGAGGAGGGCCGAGGCCTGAGGGTGAGGGGAGGAGGGCCGAGGCCTGAGGGTGAGGGGAGGAGGGCCGAGGCCTGAGGGTGAGGGGAGGAGGGCCGAGGCCTACCTCCGGCAGGTTCGGGCCGGAGCTTGCAGGCGGCCTCGGTGAATTAGCCACAAATCAACCCTCCTCACCTCGTAAAGTCGAAGAGCTGCTCGACCCGCGGAATCTCCATGTCGCTCTCTCAGGAATCGCCGCTGTTTCTCCGTCGCCGACACCGCCGCCAGCACGACGACGACGCCGCCGACTCCATTCGGCTCATCAATGCGCCGCCGCCATATTGGACGGCGGGAAGGCTGAGCCGTGGCGCAGCGGCATTGGAGGAGGTTAACGGAAGCCGAAGTGCAGCGCGGGACAAGTAGTTCCGCGGTAACCGTAGGTCAAGCAAGATTGGCCCTGGCGGGGGATATTGGAACTACAACTCCCACCGTGCCACGTGAGAGCTATTACCTCCACCAAGTGCGCTTGCGCCGTTCGCACAACAGCGTTCATTGCATGCAGCCTTTTGGAACTACACTTCCCGTCGGCCCCTGCACAGGCCACAGTGCGCACGCATTGGACGGTGAACTGTCTCGGGAATCAATTGAACGTGGAATGAACCTAACTTCATTGCTTCTCCTCACCCACTCCACACCCACCGTCCACTCTCCCCAAAGGAGCTAACTCTTGCTGGTTCCAGAAATGCTGGAGGATCTCTGCATTGAATGCTCTGAGCTGAGCAGCTGACAAACCTTATAATAATTTCCACGGTTTTAACTGGCTCAATTCCAGCAATAATCCTCTCCACATACTGTGGTATGAATAGCAGATACCAGGAGAAAGAAATTGGGTACTACAGCATTGGCAAACAAAACGCTTTTGAGTTGGAACTGGAAATTCCCAAGCATAGCAACAGGTTTCTGTGACACTCGCAACTGATAAAATAAAAATAGCCAATTCACAATAATATTCCACGCAAGACTTTATTTTATTTACATCAAGGAAAAGCACACCCAGACCAAGGGTACAAACCCCAAATAATGCTTCTGGGTTCAAGTCCACAGGCCTTGGACAGTGAAAAATCTCAGGCTTAACGGAATCCTTGTTGGTCACATTTCTCCGCTGCTTAAGATTGAGAACAAGAATTCAAAAAGACAGCTTTCATACCCTGAAAGGATTGTAAGACGGGCTGGTGTACGTTTAGGAGCTGTTCTTTTCACCAACGTTCCCTCTTTGAAAATGATAACTCTTCATTGGGGTAAAAGCTTCAAGGCCTCTGGCACCTGACCCAAGTGGCCACTCTTTATGTGTGAGGCTCTTCCTCGCAGGTTTTTTTTTGGGAGGGGGGGGGAGGGAAGAGAAATCGCATCCTCACCTGATCTTAGCATCACCTGACAGCAAAAGCAGTCACCAGGAGGAGTAAATCCTAGCTGTTTTTCTTCTCTGCAAATGCAGGGCCTTTAGCCGATTGCAGTGCTTCTTGAGTGGGCCTGGCTGAGGGTAAAGGAACTCAGCGCAGATCAGCGATCAACTGGGAAAAATCACTTTTCGTAAAAATCTAATTTTTAATATCACATGGAGGTTTACTATGATTAGAAAGTTCGCCTCTCATCGCTCTCCCTTCCCCAAACACTTTCCTTCCCCTTTAAAGTCCATTGCAATGTGACATATGGTTCTTGGATTCTGATTGTCAATCCCTTGTTTGTGACAAATGATGTCTGATGAGAAAGAATTCGGTTCTTGCCAGTTCACCTCCATCAGAGGGTTGTTACTGCTTCACAGTACGTTTTACCACCCTACCGTCCTGGTCAATGGCGAAGTTGTAATTCTGGGGATTGTCCAGGGCAGCCTCTATCCGCTGGTCCACATTTTCCAGGGTGATAAAGTTCTTCACTTCTTCCTGAAAATCAATTTTAAAAAAAGCCACAGATTTAATAATAATCCTTGCCTTTGATATGCTATCTTATCACATCGTTGAGACATCATATAGTGTCTCATAGTCTCAAGTGTTTCATAGAATATACAGTAAAGTGGAGTGACTGCATTTTCTGGGCAATTGCACCCACGGTAACCCATAAACAGTCATGGATTAAGTGACCACATTTTTTTGAGGGATTTTGGAGCAATTATTATCCCTGGGAAAGCGATCCACCAATCGATTAACAACCGGGTTCCTACTTAAGGCTAGGTAAACAGAGGACCTCTCTGCCTTCCCTCACCCCTACACTACCCCCCCCCAACCATGCTCGGGTCCTGACACCCTACTGTTCATTCGAAAGATAGCACCTCCAACAATGCAACACACTCTCAGCACTAAAATGGAGCGTCATCTTGGACTATGTGAATTCAAGTGCCGATTTACATTTTAATTTTTGCATTTGATATAGTGCCTTATCACGGCATTGAGACATCTCAAAGAGTTTCACAGAATATACCATAATGTGGATTGATATGAAGCTAAAACCCAAAGGTGACTGATCCACCGTATCACACTGAATCACTTCAGTGCTTTACAGTCAAGTGAGATGACGATTTGTAGATAAACATAGCCACCATTTATCCATCAGTGATTCTCTTTCGCTTTTCTGCATCCTCATCTCCCACTTGAAACCCACCACCTTGCTCCTTTAACTCTGTGACCTCCTAACCCCTTACCAATCTGCCCGCTCCCTCTGCTCAGCCGGCTCTGGCCTGCTCCACGTCCCCCAACCCACCCACCCCACCATTGGTGGGAGAGCCTTCAGCCACTCTGCCCCCAACCTCTGAAATTCCATCCCCAAATGCCTCACCCCCTCCTTAGCCTCCTTCAAGTCTCGCCTCAAAACTCTCCTCTTCGATCATGCCATTGGCTATCCCCCACCCCCTCCCCTCTCCCTAATCCCAGCTCGGGTCTGAAATGCTGCATACTGTCCAGCTGTATGGGATATCCTCCTGACGTGAAAGGCGCTATACAAATGTAATCTTGTTGTTGTTAACTCTTTCCCATCCAGTTTCGCCAATTGCCCCTTCTCTACCACATGCTTGCGATTCTCATCAACCTTTCCCTAGACGAGCCTCAACTTTCTTCATCTAAACACAGGCACGATGGAAGCCATCCTACTCAGCTCCTAATGCTTCCTTTCCTCTGGTCCCACTTCTTCAACCTTCCAGGGCTCTCACAAACTCCCTGAACTCATTGGAACCATGACATTCAGTTGACCTTCAGCACTCTTTTCACCCTCACGTCCAGTACGTGACCAAGACAACATTTCCTTACCTCGGCCATTTTGCCCACTTCAGTCCCTATCTCACACCCCTCTGTGCTGATATCCCAATTCACAGATTTGTAATCTCCACACATCTTCTTAAATGCGCCTCACTGGCCCCCCACCCCATATCATCACCTACATCTGAGCATGTTCAGCAACATACCTGGAGCTTCAGGATCTCTTGCACCCGTTCCTGGAGAAACACTTCCCTCTTCTCCTCTCTGCGAAGCATGATGTCCAGTTTCTGCCGCAGCTCCTCTTCCGCCTCCTGCCTGAGTCGCTCCTCCCTGTCACATGAGCATAATAAGAATCCTTGCATTTGTTATACTTATGTCGTTGAGAAGTCTCAAAGCACTTCACAAAATATACTACGAAGTAAATTGACTGTGTATTTTGTGGGCAAAACACGGTGGCCAATTATGTACATCCATGTCCCACAAAAAGTCATGTATTGAGCGACCAAATTTATTTATTTTTATTTTCTTGAGCGATTATTACCCCTGGAAAGAGATCCACCAATTGCCTAACAACCGGATTCCTACTTACTGCTATGTAAACAGAGGGACGTGGAGTAAGGAAACTTGCCTACGGTTTCGCCCTGCCCGGGAATCAAACTCAGATCATCTCGCTTGTGAGGTGAGTGCTCTAATCACTACGCTTCAGGACTCCATGAGAATCATGAAGCACCGGCCAGCCTGGCTACTCACCGCAGGCCGCGGAGCCGCTGGTTCTCAGCATCATTCATGGCCATCAGATACCGGTGTTCTTCGGTCTCTGCCCGTTTTCGTTCCTCTGCCAGTGACCCCACTTCCTCTTCATAGCGTTGCCGCAGCATTGCCTCTTTAAACTCACCCCTAGCGGNAAAAAAAGAGAAAAAAGCCTGAATTTCACTCTCTTCTTCCAGGTTATCCTGACATATTATAAAAACTCACCTCCACTCTGAAGAATCAGCTCATTGTTATTCATGGGAGTTCACTTCTGCAGACTGACTGCTAAGTGTCTACCAGTCACTTTATTTCTAACTTTGTAAGGTGCTTTGGGACGCTTATTTTTCTGTGGTTCTGTAACTTCTAATAATAATTCTTGCATTTGATATATCGCCTTATCATGTTGTTGAGACGTCTCAAAGCGCTTCACAGAATATGCTGTAAAGTGAATTGACTGTATATTTTGTGGGCAAAAAATAGAAAAGCGTTGGTAGATATCTTCTATTAAATTAAAAGAATTAAAGAGAATTACAAAAGTGTTGCGTTCGGGAGGGGGTGGTGAAATATGAGAAAGTAAACTGATAGATCTCTCAGTTGGAATATAATTCTAACTAATATTAGTTCGATTAGTTTTATCCCCTGCCTGTGCCCTCACTCTTCCGATACAGGTCCGCTGCTTCTTCCTCATTCCCACCAATCTCATGTTCATCCTCTGCAATCTTGTGTTGATCTCCAAGATTTCTGGTCAATCAACACCACAAATTATTTGTTATTTTAGGAGGCAATGCATAATATTGGGCTGCTTTTTAGGTTAGTAATTAATAATAATCCTTCCATTTGATATTGCATCTCTTCACTTCTCAAGATGTCTCAAAGCACTTCACAGGATTTAGTGTAGAGTGAAGTGACTGTATTTTGTCGGCAAAACTTGGGCTACATTCCTCTTGGTTGACCCTCTAATGTCTGTCACAAGAGACCAGACAATGACAGACCATAACACCAACGCCTCGCAATGTCAAAACGTCTCAACACGCTTCACTGGTAAATACTGTCACGTGTAGTGACTGTTTCCTGAGGTAATTCCCCTTGAGGTCAGTGAGTAGACATTTGTAAGAGACTAAAAGCGGAAACATGACTGCCTGGGCTCCAAGAATAGCTCATGTCTGGCTGTGCTTCACAGATAATGGACAGAGAGAATCAATTTATGTTGTGAATTACAATGGAAGGAAACACAATAAATAGGAGCTCTGGGACATTCAAAACACATTGAATTAATGTCTTCACAAATAGCCCATGGCTGGCTCGGAGTCTCATCCATGTTATTATACATCACATCTCTCATATTTGCTCCCGGTCTTACCACTTAGAGTCCACATCATAGATAGGAGGTCATTTGAGCTTTTGTATCAATCCTGGTGCTCTCACTTCCCTACTGGAACTCTCTACTCTAATCCCATTCCTGCCTTCGCCCCATTGTATCTGTGTTGCTGCTCACTCCCCTCACTTGAGCTATCCACTCTAATCCCATTCCACTGCTCACTCAAGTAACCCCTTCAGTGGAGCCCTCTGCCGCATTTCCCTACAAAATACACAGTCACTCCACCTTACAATATATCATGTGAAGCGCTTTGAGACATTCTCCTGACGTGAAAGGTGCTATATCAATGCATGGATTCACATAATTATTTTCCACAATTGTTTGACACTAGCTGTACCCGTGGCAGCTACGCTTGCAACCAAAAAGTCCAATATGAAATGTAGATAGACACACACATAGACAATTCATCTTTATACTTATCTGGGAGGACTCCTTTTAGAAGGACTCAATGAGAGGACTCAGCGCTTTAAAAATGTAATTGTGCTGTTGGTGTTCTTTATTTTGTTCCCGCCGCTACTTGGGTAGCTTGGCTACGTGTGTGCTCTGTGACGCAGGATGCCACAGGGCCATAGTCAGCCGCCGCGGCCACCAGCTGTAACTGCAGTGCATGCGTGCATAAGAATATGCTCTGTGACGCACAATGACCCAGAGCACAACTTTGACTCGGCGGCCACCAGGTGTAACTGCAGTGAAAAACGTAAAACTGAAATCCATTTTAGGTGATAACTCATGAACGATAGGAGATACCTGAAAACAAATATGCCTGTGTCACTCCCAGACACAAGACCTTTCCGATGAGATATAAATCATGTCTCTAAGTCAATCGGTTATTGAGATCCTTCTTGAAGCGTACACAGACAGACATTGTTGTTTTATTATTATAGATGATTGTTATGTTCTCAATGTGTAGAAAACTCTTTTATTCTCAGCTCACAAGTTACAAATCAAACAATCCAACCAAAAACCCTTCAGTCAGTAGTCAGTGGGTAATAAACAGACTGTATCATGCCCCACCTTTGTTTTGCATCATTAACACCTCTTTAACCCATCATCCACTGTCCTCTACCCCATTTTCTCCTTTATCTTCCTTGTCCTGCCTCCCCCCTCTCTGTTAACCCTTAAAAGCCTCTCCCTCCCAACATGCCCCAGTTTTGATGAAGGGTTGTGGACCTGAAACGTTGACTTACTTACTTTCCTTTCTTTTTTTCACTTTCTGCCTGACCTGCTGAGTGTTCCCAGTGACTTCTGTTTTTGCCTCATATATCCGTTTTACACTCCCATCAGTCTTTGCTTCAAATTACCTCAATTACCACCCTCGGTAGCCGTGTCTTCAGCCACTATGGCCCGAGGCTCTGGAACTGCCTTCCTCACTCCCTTCGTCTCGCTTCCTCCCTTCCCATTTTCAGGTCTCTGCTGAAGACCTTTCTTTTCGACTGCGCCTTTGGTCACCTTCCTCCCCCTCCCCCTGGCTCTGCCCCGGGATCCTAAACTGTAAAGCACTTTGAGATGCCGTCCAGCATGGAGGGCGCTATATAGATCCAAGTTGTTGTTGTTGTTGTTCAATGGCAAATCCCCTCCGAAATCCCCCTGTAAAACAACCTGGCGTGCGCACCCACGCACAACCACACGCACTCACGCCCGCCCTCCTATCCTCCACCACTCAATCAATACAGCAAGTTACTAGTGGAGGTTTGGGGGGAGAGTGCAGTAGAGAAAGCAAACAGGAACCCAGCGCTATAACATCCATTCAAAGAAAAATAGTTTTATCGAAGGTGCTGTCTTTAAGAATTAGACATTAAAATACGAGGTGCCGTCTGTGCCCTGTTAATAAATCCTTGCATTTGATATGGCACCTTATCACGTCATTGAGACATCTCAAAGCGCTTCACAGAATATACAACAGCAACAATTTGCATTTATACAGCGGCCTTTCATGTGGGGTAGTGTCCCAGAGCCTTTGATATTGTACACTTTATATTGTAAAGTGGATTGACTGTATTTTCTGGGTAAAACAATGGTAGCCAATTGCACACAGCAGTGTGGATTGAAATTATTCAATTATTCCTATTTATTTTTACAGGATTATTGCCATCAGAAAGGAACTGTCAATCGATTAACAAACATTTTCCTATTTCCTACTGCTAAGTAAACAGAGGCATATGGAGTAATAAACTTGCCTAATATTTTGCCCTGCCCGGGAATCAAATTCAGATCCTCTACTTGCAAGGAAAATGCTCTAACCACTAAACTACAGGACTCCACAGGACTTAAATCTTGTCTTACCCAATACAATACGGGATTCCACTCGACCAGGCATTGCAGGCAAATTGGACTGAATGGATTCCTCTTTCACAGACGTGATGAGCTTTAAGTGCTCTGGGACGCTGCTCTGCTTGAAAGGTACCATGTAATGTAAATGCAAATTGATGTTGTTTTTGTTGTTGCTGTTGTTAATGGCCTACATTGTTGGAGGCATTATCCATAGAATGAAACGTTAAACCAAGGTCCCGTTTGCGTCTGTTCAGGTGTTCAAGATCCCATGGGGCTACTCAAAATGAATTTCTCGCTCCATGTGTCCTGACCAACAATCCCCCAAATAGAGTCAGTCACTCCATGGCTGTTTGTGGGATAATTTATACTGGCTGCCACATTTCACTTTACAGTTTATCCTGTGAAGCGCTTTGAGGCGTCTCAATGTCGTGATAAGGCGTTATATCAACCGTAAGGATTATTATTATTATTCCCTACCAGACAAAGCAGTTTACTGGACCAGATAGAGATGAAATAACACACCCTCATACAGCCACCAGGTAGTCTTCAAAGCAGCTTGAGAGAGCTCCCCAGCACCCAACCATCTGTTAACACCACAACAATCTCCGCTTGTGTTCTAGGGATTGTCAGTCGCTGCCGCCAGCTCCTCACCTCGCCGCAACCCCCCCAACCCCCACTCCTCTCTGTTGTCTTCTTCTAAAAATGGAGCTCCACTAAGCCAGAAATAGATTGCTGTGCTGCCAGCTCAGTGAGAAATAACAGCGGGATATTAAACTCAGGACACTTACAACTCAAGACATTGACAGCCATGGAGTTTTGCTGGAACAAACTTCCATTATAATAAAAATAATAATTTTTACTATTATCCCAAGACCTTCCTCTTTGATTACGTCAACAGAACAATTCAAAAAGAGAAGGAAGTTTCTCTCTCCTGGCGTCCTGGCCAACAATCCCCCAAATACAATTAATCACTCACTTCAAGGCTGTTTGTGGGACACTGTTGTGTGCAACTGGCTGCTGCGTTTCACCCACAAAATACACAGTCACTACACTTTACAATATATCCTATGACGTGCTTTGAGATGCCTTGATGACATGATAAGGCGCTACACCAAATGCAAGGATTATTATTATAATATTACTGGGAGGAATCTTGAAAGGAATCAGGGCAGGTGGCCAAACACAACAACACCCAGCGGATGTTTCTGAGCTAAGTTCCATCCCATTTGGCAGAAATGAAAGGGCAGAGTTTTTACTCATTGCCTCCCACCACTTCAGAGACGTAGGGCAGTTTTTCATCCCATCTGTTGGAGTTGGGCCCTGGCTCCAGGTAGGTAAGCATGTCCGTGTAAAGAGAAAGGTGCTCAGCAATTGCGTGCCAGCCTGGTTCAGTCTGTAACCCTCTCGCCTCTGAGTCAGAAGGTTGTGGGTTCAAGCCCTCACATCAGGACTCTAGGTTAATGCTCTAGTGCAGTGCTGGGGGGAGCACTGGCTTGTTGCAGATGCTGTCATGTGTAAGTTAAAATAAATAATAATTTGGTCACTTTTCACAATTGGCTGCTGTATTTGGTTCATAAAATATAGTCAATTAATTTTACAGTACATCCTGTGAAGTGCTTTCAAACA